TTCCCATTTGGCAAAATGGATGTGAGTCGTAGTCAACTGCATCATTAAGGCGTGCTCTCAGCCATGTCTCAGGGCTGCCATTCACCCTCCGGCTCCCCAACATGGCAGCAGGCGCTGGAGAACTATGACCCTGGGGTCACATTGCCAGGTCATACCCTAATGGCTTGTCCTCATGAGAGAGGCTCCCTGGCCAGGGGCACCAAAGCTACCTACCTGTTTCTGGCTCCACTTACACAGATCAAGGCTTCATTGTTGCAAATGCCCTGGATTTCACGTCCTTTTAAAAGCCCGGCCAAGTTAAGCTCGTCCAATCCAGGGCACCAGTTGTGAATCCCATGGAAACTATTGACCTAAAGCCAAGCCAGGCACTCTTCAAAATCATTGTGGTTATGTGCCAACCATAGACACCCCCCTCAGAACAGAGTTCTGCTCATGGAGGGCCCTTTTTGTATACATCAGTGTAGCTGTTCCAACAGCAACTCTTGTCTGTGGTCTTGATAGCAGATCTAGAGAGAGGTCAGAGGGCTCTGGGGGCATCATACCTCACATCAAACTCCAGCTCCACAGCCTGCTCCAGCACAGGTTGCTGGCTGAGGTCTTCTCTGAAACCAGTTTGTCGTTTGAAAATGGAGTGGTGTCTGTCACCACTGTGTGCCAGAGTTGTGTCTGCACAGATCCCTTCATCCTGATGGGAAGTTGCTATTGTTAAGCCCATTTTGCAGATGAGGGAGAGGAGGCATGGAAAGTCTCGTTCTCTAAGCTCCCATCTCATGGCAGTTCATGTCCAATCTCAGCTTGACACCAGAGTCTGCATGTGGAGTGACCACTCTGAGGCCTCCTGGCTGCAGGAAAAGTTTAGCATTGCCTGGTCATAGGGCATGCTCAACAAAGCCAGTTATGCCTCCATGTGGCACTTTTCCAGGGGCTCACAGCAGGCTGCCCCTTGCATTTTTCACTTAGTAGGTACTCAATAAACGTCTGTAACTTCTGAGATGGCCTGAGAGTTTTGTGGACTGGGTTGGATTTGAAATTGTTGTGAAGAAAATAGTTTTTTTCCTTGTAGAGTGGGAGGCAAGCGCGTGTGGGTTGGGTAGGTGTGGCTGTGGTCCTGAATCTGTGAAATATAGAAGGCAGGGGAGTGGGCCGAGCTTTCCTGGTCTCTAGGCCTGCTGAAGTCTTCTGGACCGCAGGGCGTGACTGGCCTGCAGTACCAGCTTTTACTAAGAGGTGGCGCCCTTCCCCAACAGTTGTAATTTGCTGGCATCCAACCTAAACCAATGCCACCAATGCCATGTATTAACCAGAAAAACAACTCCAGCTGACTTCCTGAGCCAGCAGGCCTCACACGCAGCAGTGGGGCCCGGATCATCTTGGCTATCGGTGACGCCCTCTCCGTGAACCAGGACTGGACACAACGGGGCAGACACCAGATCTCCTTTTGTCCTGACATCTCTTCCAAACCTCCTTCAAAGAGGGAGATTAACTTTCACCAGGTGTTTGTGGTGGAGGGGGGGATCTTTCCTACTGATGCCAGGGTCAGCCTGGAGGAATGCCCACAGGACCCGGATTTCCTTGGCTTAGAAGGCGCTGCTGCTGCGCAGTCAAAAGCTCTACTAAGGTATTCTGCCTGCCGCGCTAACATGTCCTGGCATGGATTCTGCTGAAGTTTACCCTGCCCTGAGCTGGGTCGGAAAAGGGACACCTGTCCATCTAGGCCCTCAACCCAGACACCAGGTCTCCTGCACACACATGTACCCATGGTTCCTACTGACTGGTGTGGTCTCCTGAGTCTGTCTCCAGCACCTCCTAAAAGTAGGTGGGTGCACTCCTCTGCACCCCCTGCTGTGCACAGTTGGCACACCAGCCTCCTCTCTGTTCAAACCTACTTCCAGAAACCCAAGGTGGTTTTCCAACTGCTAGGAATTCCTTCCCCCACCCCACCCCCACCCCTAGGGTCTCACTTTGCACTGGTCCCTCCACCCCTCCCTGCGACCAGGCCTAGGAGCGCCACTTCGCCACGCGGGGTTCAGGCGACACCCCAAACTAGCTGGGACTCAATCCACCAGGGAAGAGCCCCAGCAGCCGGAGTGGTGCAGTCCATCCGCGGGCGACCCTTGTCCACAAGCCGGGGCCTCGCTGCGGCGGGGCAGGACCGCGAGGGTGGCCGAGGGAGCTGGGGAGGGAGGACCCCGGATAGGCTCCGTGCGGGATTTTTTTCACCGTCTGGGGCCGGGTTTCGTCCCTCGTCCTGGGTCACCCCAACTCTCGGGTGTGCAAAGCTCGCTGCCTGCAGCCAGGGGGCGGCGGGGAGCCGGAGCTCGCAGGAAAAATCCACCCATTTCCTGGGCAGATTGCGTCGGCCGCCGCCCGGCCGTATCCCCGCCTCCCGGCCGCGGCCCCCGCGCACAGCCCGCGCGGCGCTCAGAGCCGGGTGGCCCAGCTCGGCGGCGGAGCGC